AGAGCAAGTCTCAGAGAGGACTGTGTCCAGTGGGCACCATTGGTGACTCAACACCAGTGCCAAGGAACCTGGTCAGCTGCTTCAGCATCCTCAAATCCTCCATCTTCGCCTGGGTCATTGAAGACTTGCGTGCACTCTCAGCCAGAGCTGGGGCTGGAAAGAATGCAGCTTCCCAGATCAATTAAGCCATTAACTGATTACCTAACTTACAAATCATTTCCTCTAGGACCTTATCTGGCAGGGTCTTATTTTTATACCTATGTAATGCCTTGTGATCCAGGTTGTGGTCAGGCAGAACATCAGGAAGATAAACTGGAAGGCACATTATCTTCATAAATATATAGATACTTTGGCCATCCTTCATACACTCACATGAAACATACTTTTTCCTGTTAAGATTCCCTTGGTGGCTGTGTCTGATGATTCCACCACCACCTCTGTAACTTACAAACCTACTTAGTGGAAGTAGAATTTCTTCTTGCCGTTTCTCTTCATCTTGTATGCCAAGAGTAAGTTCTAAAATACCAGTATGTTCCTCTCCACTTAGAACACCTGATGTTTCCTGCCCATTCTGCCATACCTGAGAGTATGCTCTCTGGGCTGGAGACCAGCCTCCCTCCCTCCAGTTCTACTCCCAGTGTTGAGTGCCTGTTCAGCACTCCCACAAAACCTGCTTTCTTCCACACAGTTCTTGCAGCTCCTCTCCAGCTCGTGTTTGTATTGAGAAACCAGTGATGAGCCATTTAATGAAGGCAGATCTTAGTGTTTAACGCATCTCATGTTTGTGATTATTTTAACTACTAAGACCTGAATTAAAACAGACTTTAATTTTACATTTAATTTCTACAAACAAAGTTGAAAACCAGGGAACAAGCATTAATGAAGAGCTCTAATATAAATGCCCTGGCATGTTTTTAATCTTTTAATTATACTTTGCATCTCAAGTGCTTTTTAATAGGAAGTAAAATCGGATTTCATAGATGTACGTCAGAAAGATACCCCAAGCTCCGCTTCTAGATATAAAGTAGGCATCTCAGGAAGGTGTGGTATAGGTTGCCCAACTTCTTTATGTTTAATTACAGTTAAATTCTAGTCCATTGAAGAAAGAATAAAAGGTTAGCATGATAAAGGATAAAAATCAGAGTGAAAGAATAAGTGCAAAGAAAGGCAATGCACAGGAAACAACATATTCCCTTGAGACTCTAAAATCGCTTTGGTGCCAGCCATCTAAATTGCTGCAAATACCAGTGGTTAACATTGGCAGAGATCCTTACCAGTGAGCGCAGCCAAACACCAGCGGTCAGGTACCTTCAAAGACTCATTCAAGGCATGGCCAGTGTCAAGGGAGGGATGTAGCATTTCTCCTTTAATGTGCAGCCATCTGGAATTGTGCATTGAGAAACTGGGTGGTCAGACTTCAAAAGGAAACGTGATTCCTCATCCTATTGAGCTACTGCTTTCTTCAGTGCTTTGCAGAAGGCACAACTTATTTTTGTTGAAGTTCAACTTTTCCTATTTAATTTTTTTTTAATTTTGCTTCCGAAATACAACTGGATTTGACATCTTTAAATGAAGTCTGTTCTGTATCCTGTAAAGAAAAAGGACCTACAGTTCTCTGTAAATCAGTTGAACAACTGTCAGTGTGATGCTTCAGCTTGTTTATGCTCAACTCCTGAACCAGAGGGGTTTTTTAACTTTAAAAAAGCAAAACAATTTAAAGAGGTTTTAAGTACTTCAGAGATCTTCCTTATGATCTGCTAATAGCACCTTTCAAACAGGAACAAAATAACTATTTTTTCCATTCCCTGGGTTAGTTTTGCAAATTTGAACTATTTTTTCCCACCCCCCAAAAAATTAGCAAAATAGGACAGTTTAGGTATAGTATAAACAGGTACCATGAAACCACAGTATCGGTAATTTTGGTGTTATTTTTGGTAATACCGGCGTTATTTTTAATCACAAATCAAATATGATTTAGCATGTTAAATTTATCTTGTCCTTTGAAAGTTTTTATATGCAATCTGAAACTTCAGTATAATGCATACTTTGAAGTGATTTTACAGATCCATTAAGAGAAAGAAGAGCCATAAAAGTCCCTTTGGTACAGATATTCTAAGGCTTGGAGTGTTGGCAGTACCCTTTATTCCAGCTTTCCTCAAACAAAGGCAGGAAACAAGACTGAAATGGCTGCATTGATCTTTCAAATGGACTTACAGCACATCTTTTACAAGGTAGCCAGTCTCGATTAAATTACTTCAGTTGATGGAGATGTTCCCCTAAGAAGTTATTCTTAGTTTTAGAAAAGCCCTTTTGATATGAATCATCTATTTTCAGTTTTAACTTTGGTCAGATAACAGATAAAACCCCAAAAAGTTTCTCTAATGAAAGGTGTAATGAGCCTCCCTATAGTCCATCCCTGTAATGCAGTCTTCCATATCCTGCCTCTTGCTCTCAGTTTCTTCCTCCCTATCATTTTTGTGGGCATTCAAATACCTGCTTAACTTTCCAGTTACTACTTTGGTATTTCAAAGTTAATCTCTGCATCCAGAGATCAGCATCACTTCAGCTATAAAGGTCACCCCAGGAATTCAGTTTGCATGTTACTTCTGGTACAGCAGCATCAGAACACACAAGTGCTGCAGTCTCAATCTACCACTGATGCACTTTATCTCCACTGAATGTTATGATTACTGCCTAGTACTTCACAGTTCTTTGCAATGGTATCTCTTTTTAAGCCCACCCTCTTGCTGTAAATTCAAAACTACCCTGTATTTATCTTTTTTTTTTAGAGCATTTACCACAAAAGTGATTTTTCCTAAGCTATCCAAAAATTGGAATATCAAATAAATGAAAAATGCATCTCTATTTTAATAAGGTTGCAGTGAGAGTGTGAAAATATATATTCTGTGTAATCTAAAGGGGTCTTTAATTAGACGTCATAAAAGGATGCCCTAAAAGTTAGGATGAAAGACCCAGTTCAAGTTTCTCCCTCTTTCATAACTCTCCACATTCATGTGCACAACTGCCAGCATTGTTCTGTCTCAGCTCCTTGCTTACACAGGAGGGGTAAAAACATTGCAATACTTGTTACCTCACACAGATCTATGCAGAAAAAAAATATATTAAAGTGTCTTAGGTGCAAAAATACTGCAGTAATAGAGCAACAAGCATGTTACATCTAGTTAATAAGAAGTAACAACTCACAAGTTCTTACTAAACAACAGTATATTTTATTATTAACAAAGACTGTAATGACAAAGCTCCTCAACATGTGTATAAAGTCACCCGTTTATAAACATGACTACAAGAATGAAGGGTACTTAGTGTGCATTTTCACAGGAGAGTGTTCAGATCTTTCTCACTGTCCCTCCCAACAGCAAGAATTCTGTCTATTTTTAATGGGGAAATTATAAAAGAAATAGCATGTCCTATTGAAAGCAATAAATTACAAATGCTAAAATGCAGACACCATAATAGAAAGATAAATACATTCAATTTTTAATGCATGGTGGATAAAACAAATAACTTTGGTTTATCAGAACTGTAGTTTCTGTTGATTCAGCATTTACATGATTTTTTTACCATGCAGTTTTGATTGACTGTTCAAAGCATCAGTATGATGCCCAAATTAGAACACAATTCTCTGCATAGTATCAAAATATTGAGAAATATTCTTATTAGTAATCAAATACAAGATGCTGAACAGTCTTATAAAATGCATTGACATTTAGGTTTAGAAAACAGAAAAAATCTGGCTCTAAATTATCTGAAGCACTAAAGTCATATTGACTTAACTGGAGCCACAATTTCTTAAGAGCCAAACAATGAAATTCTTACCCACGTCAGTAGTGCTTGCTTTTGAGAGCCACCCTATCATAAGAAAGGCTACCTGTATTAAGGCCTTTTTGATTTAAAGAAAATATATTGCTGTAGCATATAGAAAATTAAGCTTTGTAGAAAAAGTATTAAGGTCTTCTTTTAAGTAAATATATTGTTAAACAAGCCTGTATATTAGTAACTCAACAGTTTGTTTTCTGCAAGATATTTCTCTACAGAATTAAAAATATTGTTACTTGCATAGATACAACGTGAAAACACGTACTTTCACTGCAGCTCAGTAGAAAAACCCAGTGTATGCTTCAGGATCTGCCCTCCAAGCAGTGTCTTTGGCACAATGCATGGGATCACCACACCAGGAGGGGCTACAGGAAGCATTTTTCTGAAGCAGTGCTGCATCTAACACATTGTCCCTGCAGATGTCCAACATCCCCACAGATGTCCAACCAGCCCTGCCCCAATGCACAGTGTATGTCACATGTTACACATACAGTACAATCTGCTTTACGCAGAAACAAGGAACATGGCCTGATCACCGCAGGACTGCTGACTTTAGTGACAACCTGGGGGAAGCATGTTAACCTTACTAAGTTTGTACAATACATACAAAACACCAGTTATAAATGTTGACCTTATGCAGTCAGTTATTTACAAAATTCATTTTTATGTACAAAATAAGTCACTATAATTTCAGATTCCTTTTCATATTCAGTGTACAAGCTACCATAAAACAGTGCTATAATCAATACACCATGACACATAATTTAGGGACTATTTATAAATTTGTGTTTCCCTTATTTAAAGTGATACTGCTGTTAAAGACACAGTAAAAAAGAAGAGGAAAAAAAACCTCCACGTTTTGGAAAATAACAGAGATGAAAATGGAACTTTCATGCCTTGAAAAGTAACAGTGCTTTCTAAGCATTATTTTAATACAATTCATTACAAAGTGTTTTTTCTATTGGGAATATTTGTTTCTCTCCTCTTCTTGTTAAATTACTGCTAGTCAATCCAGCCATATCCTACAGAACTTTAGTTTCCACTGTTCCTGGATAGGATTAAATACAGTACATTATTGCTAACTGTCCCCACAACAAAACCTACATCTTTCAAGTGCAAAGCAAGATACTTGTGTTTTTTAATAAGGCACAGAATAGCCAGTATTTCCAGTGTAACACAGAATCCCTATCAGTTTTATACACTGCAAATGTTCATATAAAATTTCAATCTTTCAAAGGTTTGAACTGTTTCCTGAATCCAAGTCTCTTCTGGTATCTGAAGCCGAGTAGACAAGTAGCGGTAGGGAAGCTGACTGTGAGACATCAGGTATTTGGGAACAGCTGCTTTGTAATGGAGGAGATTCAACAAAATCACTCCTAGGAGTTATTCTAGAAGTAATGGAAAAGAAAATACAGGGACTCAATTTTAAGCACAGTGCATTACATTGGAAAAAATATTATGATTTCATTACTAGAAATGTATTTAAGCTATATTATTTTCAAGAGAATGCAGTACAGTTCTGTACATTTTGCCAAGCTCAGGGTCACCACTGCTCTTTTTCAGACTTACCACCTCTCAGAATGATTACTGAGAATATACTGATTCTTCAGAGAGAAGAAATAGAAAACTTACCAGAAAAAGAATTCATGGTCATACACATAAACATGCAAAAGACTGAGTTCAGGAGACGTACCTTCCTTCAGCTGTTCTCTTCATACTCTCACCCAAGCTACTCAGGTGACATGTGCTATCTGCTTTATTTCTTTTTTCCACCTGCTCCACGGTGAGTTTAGAACCAGATAACATTTGATCTCCACTGTTTTCACCTTCGTCGACTCTTTGGACTGATGTTCCATCCGCCTCTACCTCTTTCTCAGATGTCTCTGGAGAGGTTTTAATTTCTGCAACGGTTTCCTGGCTTAAGTAATCATGATTAGTGATTGCTACTGCAGACGTTCCATGATTTGTTGTCCCACCGGTGCTGGTCCCCATTGACTTCGAAATGACTTTCAGTCTGTGTGAGGTTGATTTGTAGTGCTTCTTTTTATGCTTAACTTTGGAATTATGCCTCAAGAAAAATTCACATGATTCTTGCAGCACTCTTCGACTTTCACTGATCGGACTGAAAGAAAATACAAGTGTGTAACTGGATGAAGGGGATAATCCTAGACAGAGTGTAATATAGCTTTGTACACAAACCCATAAAAGAATAGCAATCAGTGATGCAGTCTGAGCTGGATGCTAATAAACATGAGATAAAAAAAAAAAAAGTGAAAAAAAGAGGGGAAAAAAGCCCTGATCATAATGGCTCCAAAGTAATGATGTCTGTGGAACAATTAAATAAAGCAGATTTGTACATTTCTTACTTCTGTAAGCAGGTCCAATGGCTTCAGTTGATTAATCATCTCAGACAGGAAAGCAGGATTAGCTCATAAGCAGCTGTATTACGAAATTAACTTTATGTAAAGTAAACCTTGTTTAAGTGAAAAAAAGGTAAGCATTATAAAACTCACTTCGGTATTTTTAAATTCTTATAGCTTAAAGCAGTTAACATCTGAAACACATGAAAAATTATACAGGAAATGGAAAAAGAGGGGAGAAGGAAAGGAAGCTATAAGATCACCATGAAGGAATGCAGATGTAAAATAAAAGGAGCTTAAGGACTGCTGCCTTGGGAAATCCAAAGAGAAAGATCTAAACCCACAGCATAATTTATGAGTAATACAGATACTTTAAAAGAAATCATCAAGGAATAAAAAGGAATGGAAAAAATGACAACTACTAGAAATGGGCATGACATTTATAATCTGTTTAAATCCACAGATCGAAATTAAATAAATTAAGTAATAAAACTGAATTATTCTGTTTCAGAAAAATAATAAGGAACAATAGACTAATATAATAAAAGTGATACTAAGGAGGGTTCAATGAAAATGAATTTTAAAATAAGACAAGCCTGGCAGAGGAGAAAAGCAGAGGATGTTATTATGACAGTAAACACAGCTAAGCACTGTGCTACTGAAGCATCCAGAACACGTGAAAGGATCTAAATTGACAGCTGAAATTATCTTCCCCCATGTGAGTGGAAATCAGAGATGCAGTAGTCAATGCTGAACAACAATATGTCTTCTGCTTTACGAAAGAGAGCAAATCAGCAGAGGAAAATATTTTCTATTTTCTGAAAATGTCGAAAAGTCACTGCATATGTAAAACTTCCAAAAACTCTAATGGAATTTTGCTGATGCCCATATGCAGCATTTAGAAAGGGTCGAAGGAGAACATTTTGATTGCCTGAGCTATATTTAAAGAGATATGCCAGAATTCCACCTTATTTGAAGGTATATACTTAAAAAAACAGGAATAAAAAAAACGGTTCTTACTCTCTTTTGCGGTTTCTGTTGAAGAAATTGGCCCATTCAGAACAGGTCTTTTTACTTCCCACCCAGAAGACTGGAGATATGCCAACAATCAATGTCAGCAAATATTTCATCAGAAACAAAAATATTTCTGGTCTTGCTAGTGCCTTTGCCTAGAAGATAACAAAGTTGAATAAATGCAAAGAAGAAAATACACTTGTTGATTTACTTTTTTACGCACAGAAAACAAAATAAATGATGTAAAAGAGACCTTCTCCTTACGGCTGCTGGTCTTTGTTGAGGCTTGTACCGAAGACAAATGTTAGACATGTACAGTCAAGCCAGACCTGGTTAATGTCTACAGCTGAATACACACAGAGAAGATTAGTCAGAAGGAATTTATTTTTTTTTTAACTTGAAAGGAAAGATAATTTGGAGGGTAACAGTATTAGTAACCATGTTCTTCAGAGATAGCTTGTATGTGTAAGATTTCTCCCTTCAACTTAAAAGAAACAGTACGTGGATGAGTTGGGAGCTAATCAGATTACACAGCATATTCAAGGAACCGCAGGGAAATAAAGAGTAGTTTTTTGTTTATTTCAAAATTAATCCACTTATTTGCAGAACTGGATCATAGGAGCAGAGATATTTAACTCAGAGATTATTATCTTCTGCTCCCATGCTGCAAATTTAATTTACATTACCTAACCTATCTGCCTGTCCCATCTATGAAAGTCACTATTTCTGTTAGCCAGGTAACATTAGCTACTTAAGCTGAAGTTTGGTTTTATTTGGTTTTGATCAGGCCAATATAATGAAAGTCTTCAAGCTTGCTCACGTAAACCAAGGCTGAGCATGCCACTTTAATCTACTCCACAGTTAGCATGCGCTGTTTATTACAGGGACAGATCCCATTAAGTCTATCTGTGTAACATTCTCTGTTGCTATTTACTCTTTTCAATAGGTTAATTATAGGCTGAGAATACATGCTCTCTGTTATTATGTCAAGCTGTTATAAGTAGGTAAGCACTAAGAAACAAAATGTGCTTTTTTTTAAAGCATCAAATCCTTGTTTTTATCTTGTATATTTTGTAATTTTGAACCGTTAAGGTTTATACAGAGCCCAATGAAGACAAAGTGCACTTATTAAGAACAGTAATGGAACCAAAGTAATAAAGAAGTCTGTAAGCTTTGCTACTCTCAGTTTATACTAACTTCAGTACATAGGATACAGAGGATGCTTAAGAATGTAGAAGGATCAAGCCTTATCATTCCATAATACCTGTGCTTATATTCCGCTTTTTAATGATAGTTTATTGCAGTAAAAACACAGATGGTAAGTTCAAAGCAATGAAAGATGACATGAGACACTTGCATTTCTCCTAATGATGTTGTCATCTTTTATATTTGTTCTTAATGGAAAGAAACCACAAATTACTTGCAATTGCAGGGAGTTTTATGTACTTACAAGAGATTTAATCCATAGAGAGTACTGAACATGGGCAGATTTACTTTAAAAGCCTTTCCAAGGAAGTTGGTGTTTTAAGAGTCAAATGTTAAATACAAACACTTCTGCACTTTAAAGTGCTGTTGGGTTGTTTTTCTTTTTTTGTTTGCTCTTTGTTTGGTTGGTTGTTTTTTAAGATTTCTTCATATACTGAAAATCAGCCTGCAAATGACAGCTATCATGGGAAAAATATACTGGAAATTTGCTTGGTAATTTCAAGTGGTTTACACTTCTACATTTCAAAGACAAAAAAAAAAAAAAGGACAAGAGTGATTTAAAATCTGTGGTTATAAGCAACAAAATCCCAGTTAGACTTTCTCAATCTTCAAGAATCATCATTTCAGCTTCAACTGAAATTGATAAAAATTCACCTTAAGTGCTTTGATACTGAGCTAGGTACCCAAACAACGAGCAACTACTTTTAGGTACACATACTATGAAGAATGACCCTCCTCCCAGCATGAACTTTGTTGGGACTGGTCTTGTTCAACATCTTTGTCGCTGACATGGACAGTGGGATTGAGTGCGCCCTCAGCAAGTTTGCCGATGACACCAAGCTGTGTGGTTCAGTTGATACGCTAGAGGGAAGGAATGCCATCCAGAGGGACCTTGACACGCTTGTGAGGTGGTGATGCCAACCTCATGAAGTTTAACCATGACAAGTGCAAGGTCCTGCACCTGGGTTGGAGCAATTCCAGGCACAGCTACAGGTTGGGCAGAGAAGAGATTCAGAGCAGCCCTGGGAGAAGGACTTGGGGGTGTTGGTCGATGAGAAACTGAACATGAGCCAACTTCAGTGTGCACTCACAGCCCAGAAAGCCAACTGTATCCTGGGCTGCATCAAAAGGAGCGTGACCAGCAGGTCGAAGGAGGTGATCCTGCCCCTCTACTCTGCTCTTGTGAGACCTCACTTGGAGTATTGTGTGCAGTTCTGGTGTCCTCAACATAAAAAGGACACGGAAGTGCTGGAACAAGTCCAGAGAAGGGCCACGAGGATGATCAGGGGACTGGAGCACCTCCCGTATGAAGACAGGCTGAGAAAGTTGGGGCTGTTCAGCCTGGAGAAGAGAAGGCTGAGTGGAGACCTCATAGCAGCCTTCCAGTGTCTGAAGGGGGGCTATAAGTGTAGTGGGGAGAGACTCTTCACTAGGGACTGTAGTGAAAGGACAAGGGGTAATGGGTTAAAACTTCAACAGGGGAAGTTTAGATTGGATATAAGGAAGAAGTTCCTTATTGTAAGGGTGGTGAGGCACTGGAATGGGTGGCCCAGGGAAGCTGTGAATGCTCCATTCCTGGCAGTGTTTAAGGCCAGGCTGGATAAAGTCTTAGGTGACACGGTTTAGCGTGAGGTGTCCCTGCCCATGGCAGGGGGGTTGGAACTAGATGATCTTAAGGTCCTTTCCAACCCTAACTATTCTATGATTCTATGATTCTATAAATTCAAATACCTTAAAGATCATATATTCCCTTTAGATTAAGTTGGAGTTAACTGCCCTGTGCTATCAATTTGATTAACAAAAACTTTCAAAGCAGAAGTTTCACACCACCAATTTTCACTTAAAAAGCAACTAATCACCGCATGCTCTTGAACTGATTTACTAATTGCACAGCAGATATAGTAATATATAATGGGCTTTGTTAATTAACTTTTCATTATAATTCATAAAGGAAACTGCTACTTGCCTGATAAGGACAAGGAATATGGTACTGGTCACAGTGGTCAAACACCCAAGTCGTTTCCCAGATCTTCCGGTTCACCAGTTCATAGACATAACATCCAAGAAGTGCTACAAGTGGCACCAAGTATAAACCACTAAAAACTCCAATTCGGATCATAAATTTCTTTAGCTTCTCCTGGTTTCTGCCATCATGCTGAATGACTTGCCGCACATGATTTAAAGAAATAATACCAGCTAAAAGAAGAGAGAGACCGAAAAAGACACAAAGGCACAACGGCAAAAGCACAAAGTACAAAGAGGCATCCAGATCGTAGAGACCCACAAAACAAACTCCACTGATATTGTCCCCTTCAACTTTGTTCATTGCAAGGAGCATAATGGTTAGAAAACCAGGTATTCCCCATGCAACCGCATGGAACCACATGGCCTTTTGTGCAATAGCTTCACAGCTCCATTTTCTTCCTGCTGCAAGGAACCAAGTGATTGTAAGAATCACCCACCATATAGTTCCTGCCATAGTGAAAAAATACAAAACCATGAAAAGGACAGTACAGGCTTTGTTTTGGGAGCCAAGAACAACTGTTTCACCGATTTCTAACTTATCATCTGCCTCATTACAGGCAGTTTTGTTCCCAAGTAAAAATCCAATAAAGTACATTAGAGAGACTATGCTGTAACAGACAGAGTAATATATGATCGGCCTCTCTGGGTACCTAAACCTTTTAACATCAATCAGGAAAGTCAGGAAAGTAAAAAGCGTAGCACAAAGACAAAAGATTGAAACTATTCCAATGAAGCTTTTTGCAACATCCAATTCATAGTTTTTGAAGTACATATTGGGACATGGGGGTGCGCACTGATCAATTCCTAGAAACTTGTAGCCTTGTCCATTGGTAGTGTGTAGGTGTCGTGGACACCAGAATCCATAATCCCTTCGGGTCTGGCCTGGGGTCTTCTGGGTTCCATGTATGTTTGTGGTTACAGCAGCAGTGGCAGGAACAGTTTCATCACAATTGACTAGTCTACATAAACAAACAGAAGAGGAAATATCTTAATACTCCTCATTCTTAACTGCAATTATTTCTTAGAAATATGAAAAAAATCTGATTCTAAGCACCTTTAAATTTTGTAGATAATGCAAAATGTGCATTACATTAAAAACTCAAGTGGTATTTAGAAAAACAGACTTAAAATACTTTCAGTTTAGAAGACTATTCAAGCACAGCTATTCAACTGTTGTTTTATTGCTTATGAAACTACTCAAATTTCAATTGTTCTTTTAGAGTCTTAAATTCTACTAAACTTTCATATATGTATATAAAAAAATTCCCAGCAGGGTTTTTTTAACTCTGGATAACAATAGAGTTCTGGAGACTGATGTTGTCAAAATGCAAGCCTCAGTCAAGGAATAAAGAAAGAAGGCCGACAGTATGCAGTATATGATTATAATTTTTGTGTTTTAGTATTATTTCATTGTTGACAACAATAAAACTACCTAACTGAAAAAGACAAAAGCAGAATAGATAAGCACTGTAAAAAATTATCACTATTTTAGCAATAGTGTTCATCTAAAAATTGCTTAAGACTCAACTGCTCAAGGGTTTGAACACAATATGTGACCTTTTATATGGTTAATACAGTACCAGCAGTGTTGAACATATCTTCAAACTAGCTTAGGTAGTTATAACTCAAACAGGTATGCATTTACTCAAAACTGGGTTTATATTTATATGCTTTCCAAGTTTAAGCATATATTTAAAAAGAACAAGTTTTGCATTTTAACTTTTAAAGTAAATTTCTGTTATCTCAAAACATTTTTTGTGAAATGCTATTATAGGAGTCCTTCAATGTTAGTTTGCAAGCTTGGCTTAAGCTAAACACCCCTTCAGTTCTTTGTTTCCCCTGCGTTATTGTGCTGTCTAAATAAATCCAGACTAATCATTAAGAGAACTGATTCTGTAGCAGATTCTTTCATTAACCAAGGGCTGGACCATTATGCATGGAAACGGTGCAAGTTTTATTCACCCATGTCTTCCTAGGCATTATGTATGTCTGTAAGAATACAGAAGTAGGGATCTGAGGATTGCAGTTACTGACCATCCTCTCACAAGCTCCTCTTCAACGGGCTCCAGCAGCAGGATCTCTGCTGTGGTAAGAACATCCTGCATCACCTGGATTTCTTGCAGGCGTGTCGTGGTTTAAGCCCAGCCAGTAACTCAGAACCATGCAGACAATAGTTCACTCCCCAACCTCCACTTCCTCCCCCCGCTCCCAGAGGGATGGGGAGGAGAATCAAAAGAATGTAACTCCCACAGGTTGAGACAAGAACAGTTTAGTAACTAAAGTATAACACAAACCACTGCTGCTGCCACCAATAATAATAATGATAAAGGAAATAACAAGGGAAGAGAATACAACGGCTCACCACCCACCGACAGATACCCAGCCTGACCCAAACAGTGATCTAGCCCTTCCAGATAACTGACCCCAGTTTATATACCAGGCATGACGTGCTGTGGTATGGAATACCCCTTTGGCTAGTTTGGGTCAGGTGTCCTCTCTCTGCTTCCTCTCAACTTCCCCTCCTCCCTGGAAGAGCATGAGACTCAGAAAGTCCTTGGTCAGAGTAAACATTACTGAGCAACAACTAAAAACATCCGTGTTATCAGCACTGTTCCCATGTTGAAAGTCAAAAACACAGCACTGCACCAGCTACTAAGACTGAGAAAAATGACTGCTGCTGCTGAACCCAGGTCAAGGTGCTTGGGGAGACATTTCACATACAAACAGAGCAGGTTCATTGTCAGTAAATGCTAGCAATAATAGAATAATCTAAAGCTGCAGTAATTACTGCAAAACGTATTTTAATTTTAAATGTCATTTGAAAGATACATTGAGTAACTGGCTTCAATTGTAATTTTCCTAATTTTTCAAAACAATTCTTGAAGACATTTGCTGCGCTGAGTAGCACTACTGTTGCATAAATGCTCACACTAGATGGGAAAAGCTGATGTCTCCTTGTTTTAAAATCCCACAATCTTCCTGCAGAACTAAGGAAAATGGCATTAATGCCATCTATCGTACTCACTCTGGTACAGATTTCTACCCCAATACAGATTTCTACCAGAGATCATGGCACAGAATTACTGATCCAGCTCTCTCTCAGCCCTATCACAGATTAGCAACTGCACAGGGGTTAGAAAAATGATTTGAATTTCCACTTTCTGCTCCTTTCCTGTAGTTCTTGACCTGATGTGTGTTAAAAAACAACCCAACCACTACTACCATTTGGCCTTAATAATTTATCTGCAGTTGAATGTCAGAATCCCAAAAGATTACAAGGGAACGTATTCAGTGGTTTCCATTTAATATATATCTTTTCCCCAAATGTAGTATTAACTGTCTTCTCTCTGGAAGACATATGTGAACATCTCTGAGAAAAGTGGAATTTTTAAAAAAGGGACTTTTGGCAGGCAGTACAGGAAAAGCAACATGAGACTGAATTTGCACATTTAAGTAGTTAGGAGTAAGATAAGACTTCTATGACTAAACGCTGTGTCCATTCAACTACAGAATATTTTCTATTTAATTATTTTATGAGCAGTTATTTATAAAATCCCCATGAAGTAAGTATGATCACCCTTAGTTCAGAGATCAGAAACGAAAGCAAAATATATTCTGTAACATTTATTATAACAAATTTTATGAAAATTATACTAAAAAAACTTCTTTTTGCAGGGATCTGAATACTGAAAAGTACTGCTGCAGAAATTTGTTGTAAGAAAGTCACAAGCAGGAAATGCAGGTGATCATTTGAATAAAACAGGTTTTAATTAGGAAATAGCCCTATGCATAAGCACTGCAGGGTCACCAAAGACGAGGAAGCTACAGCAAGGTAGTGATATTTAACATTCTACCTGAGATTTTCAACTTAGCCTAGGTCAATTGAAAACATCGCCCCCACTCCCTGTCAATGTGAAAAATACCCTACCTGGCACATTCCAGCTCTTCAGGCCATGTGATTCCAAAAGTGTCCATCAACTGCTTACAATCAGAATATACTTTCTCACAGAGGCTTCGACAAGGGTGAATCACATGAACTTGCTCTAGGCAGGCAGGGACAAAGGCTTTGCACAGAAATGTGTGGAAGTCTGGTGAACAGTGAAGATTCATAAGTGGAAAAAAAGGCTACAGGGAAGAAAAAGGCTTTGGTTAGTAATTTTAAAAAGATAATTCAAGTGGTCAAAACTAACTTTCATCACTAAGGATCACATTTGTTCCCCTGTAGGTTTGAAAAGATAACAGAATATAGTGCTTGTTCAGCAGTTGTGAAAGAGTAAAACCCAGTGACCTGAGCAGTGAGAAGCTCTGTTAACACTTCTAGCCTTGCCCTGGGATCTTGGCCAATCTCTAACTACTCAAACCTGATTTTTTACCATTTGACAATATTAGAAACTTGAACGATATTATGAAAGGCTAAGATGTTTTAAAAACAGAGGGAAACACTAAGTCCCTACATTCACCAGTCAGCTTCTAAATGAGATTTTTTAAAAGTGCTCCTGTCCCTGTAGTTCCTGTTAGATTACATTTTCAGTCTAAGTGGTGTGTTGCACTCATCGTCTTCTCTCATGCCAGAGAGGTTTGGGTTTCTTTGATTAGTAAGGTCTAAATATCATTATTCTTCACTTCTGAAACACTGCATTTCAAAATTTGACATGACTGATGAATGTTCTGACTAGAGAATTCACAAAATGATATTTAATGCAACTTGCCCCTTCCTCCTCCCCCCGAGTTAATTCAATCTATTGCTGACAAGACAGGCTTTTAAGGTAAAAAGACAATCTTCCTTCTCTACAATTTACCAACTTTGTTATTAGGGAAAACTATTTTAGCTGAAATACTACTGTGTATCAGACAAACCAGAAGCTGTCAGACATTTTTGCAAGTGCTGAACTGCTGTAAGGGCAGCTCATTGAAGGAAGCAAGTGATGACATGCTAACAGCATGGCCAGCCATGCTCCTGTGCTTCTAAGTGGGCTGTATGTCCAAAGCAGCAGGGCCAGCAGAAGGAAGCAGGAATGCTGGGGGGCTGCGTAAGCAAGCCCTTGTGTCAGCGAGCACAAGCAGAAATTAAACTGAAGGAGCCAACCATGTGTTGGTGATCTGCTGGAGGGCACATGGACCAACAGATCAGCTAGGGCCAGGAGGTGCCAGGCACTGCCAGGACAGACAGCACATATATGGTGCACTGCCATTTGGCCCATGTAAAAGCTCTGGGGTGGCAGACTAGGGGAATGCGCAGAAAAGGCTTGCTCCTCCACTCACCGAGGTGCAGAGACTGCCCAGGGAAAGGGAGGGAACACAGAGCAGCTGCAGGGATGTGTGCTGAAGGGATCCAGCCCCACTGGTTCTTGAATAAGCCCCAGCCTTCAGATCCATTGCAGGCTGCTGTTCACTGTCCTGTCTGCCATACCAGACACATGTTCCTGAGCCAGCTCATGAAAGTAAAACAAGCTCGTTCCCCGAGGGAACCAACCCACAGCTGAGGTGAAAGCCACCTGCAGGGTCACATCAGCCTTTGAAGTTCTTTTTAATTTTTTTTTTTAAGTTTTAGAGAACAATCAACCATTGGAATAATCTCCCCAGGGAAGTGGTGGATTCCCCAACATTGAACACTTTTAAGGTTCAGCCACAGAGGGCGCTGGGACATCTAGTCTAAGGCATGCTTTGCCAAGCAAGGCTGGACCAGATGATCCTTGAGGTCCCTTCCAACCTGGCATTCTAAGATTCGACAAAGTACATGTTTTGAAGAACTGCTTCTGGTATTTCAGGAAACAGGAATCTCCGTATCATACCTAAATAGTCAATTTCATGCATCAGGAAAACTGGAATAGTATTTAACACACTTTTAAATGTTCCGATAAACAGGGACAGTGTGTGAAGTTTTCAAAGTAGGCAAAGTTTTTACTAAGATTTTTATTTAGGAAGATTTTTATTTACTTCTTTGCCATTAACAGCTACATAAATCAAATATTCAAAGAAGGACTGGTAAGGGAAGGACTAACTTCTGAGTCCTGAATAGCATTCTTACTTTTGCCAGCTTTTAAGAAACCCAAGTATATACATACACACACACACACACCCCCACACACCCCCCTACAGCCAAAGAGCAAGTTTTACTGCATGCCAAGCACGTATTTTAAAATAAAAGACATTGATAAATAAATTTCCCCCTCCAAAATGGAATACCTACAAATCCTCAGGGGACTTTTGCAGTAAGCACAGGAATGTGCAGGGAGGGGTGAAAGGAGAAGATAAGGCAGAGCAAGAATAACTTTAAAATGCTTTATGAAAAACAAACAAAAAAAAATGTTGGCACTATCCTGCAGAGCACTCTGGCTGCATCTGCAGATGCATCACAGCAGGCGCACAGAGGTCTGATCCTGTCTCTCTGGATGTCTGCTCTGGAGCTGCTTTTGCAGGAACCAAGACTTGAAATATTTTATGACAAGGAGAGTAGTATAACATGCTCCAGTTCCATCAGTCAGATTAATTCCTAAATACTGCATGGTTAAGATGAAAATAACAGTGAAGAGTTAACTCCAAATGAATGAAATGACCTCTGCATAATTATGATGCTTGTGTTCAATTAAATGTTATTTGTTCCAATGGTTAGCTTATGTTAGGTCTGTTCTTCCTGGCACTTAGGATAAAAGGAAGATAACAGCCTCGGTGATCACATACAGCGTTCACTTTTGAAATTCAGTCTTATAGAAATTGTCTTGATTTTTTTTTTACTTTTTTCCTTTCTGTGTCCCACAAAGTTTATCTCAGTTGATAGAAAATAATTTTCCAGAGCAAGTTTTGGGGTGCCAGGCAAGAACTTCTGCAGCCACAGGTAAAACAGCAACATTTCCTCAACAAAGTAAGAATTTAAAAAAAAAAAAAAAGTATTTTGATAAGCAACAATTTTTTAAATTGAGTTTTCCAACATAGCTATTAAGGTTACATATTGCAGGCTCACCCCCTTGATACAGCAAATAAGTATAACAAAAGTGATATCTGGTGGAGAAAGACATAAACCCACCCTTTACCATTCTAACTATGGCATGTTGTCACTGGCTAAACACTGTTGTTTAACAATCTATTTTATTTAAATGCAAAACTGTGTGAACAGCTAAATACAAAAATGTGATATTTTAGGAAGAAACCTATGCTCAGCCTGTAATGTAATCAGAGTAGAAATCCATGGACCTGGCTGCCAAGAGTACTTGTTCTTACAGTATTTCTTTCAGCTTGCTAACAATATTTACCTTCTGACACATGAAAGTATAAACATAAGAAGCAGGAAGTTTCATGTTCTGAAGACACAAGCAGACCTTCTGAGTCAGACCAAACTCAGACTGCATTTAGCTGGTCACCCCATTCTCACCCCAGCTGGTGAGAAGTGGGACATAGCAAAACAAGCTGACATCCCGTCCAGTTCCCTGCAACCAGTGGTTTAGGAAATCAGCTGCAGGTTATACCACCACTGTGTTGAAAAGACACCGACAAACTTCCTTTCTGCCTAGAACATATCTAATCTCTTTTTCAATCATTTACACTTATACCCTTTGCAAATACTACAGCAGTAAGTTAGACTGCATAATTTAATCAGGCACTGCTGAGAAAGGAGCACATTATTGTAACTCCTGGTTTTGCAACCTCATTTGTCTTCTGACAAACGGCTAACAGATTACTCTTTACTTTTTCCATGTCATTTTGCCATCCTGATAAACCTTAGCATAATAAGGTTTTAAATTTTTATTTCTATTCCTTTCCTAATATACTTTGCCTTCTATCTGCCTTGACTACAGTTGAACACTGACCACACATTTTCGCAGTGACAAAGACTCTTTCTGAGTGACAGTAACTAATATAATAATAACCCCCTCCTTGAATAGCACTGTATTTATTAACAATAAATGATTAATAAATTTACAGTAACAGACTTGCACACGACTACTGTCCCATAAGTGTCACTCCAGAACTGAAGTACAACCTCAAAACCTAAATCAGTGTATTCTACATATACACTTTCATATCTGATACTTAGGAAATATGGCTGCTGTCAACTATGGTGTATATAAGCAGTCTCAAAAGAACAGGCAGCAATTGCTCTTCATACTCAGAGAGAATACTAACAATCTTCATAGTATCTTTATCCACTTCTATAATGACAATCTGTTTCAATTAAAAACGGTGACACAAATATGGCATGGTTGATTTAATCCTACACTACTGTTTCAATAGAGTTATTCTGGACTGGATGGAAATGAGATTAGCATCATACCCAGAGAGATTAATGCCTTCGCACAATTACTAGATGGGATAGCAAGGGTGGTAATTTGCTCTTAGCCACAGTGAATCAGCTGCCAAGAATCTCCAACTTCTAATTCATGCACAATTAAATAATAATAAATAAATGTCCTAACACATGGAACTAAACGAAGGATGAAATGCTCAAGTTCCATTACATTCAAAGCAAGGTTGAGAAAAAAAACAGGGTCTTCCTATTGGAAGTTACATTGACAGATTTAGCTCAAAGGCAAGTTAAAGACACTTTTAAGCTGGTATGTAAGGATTTAGAAACTATTTTGCAGGAGGCTAAGGCAGTTTAGATGTCAGCATCTTGTTGCTACATGTCTGTTAGAAGTTGTTATTTAACAGCAGAGCTGCAAAACAGAAATGTGACTGTAGCTCATGAACATTAGCACAATGTCAAGCATCCTTTAAACTACCAGCAAAGATGGTAGGAACTAATTTGGAGTCCCACATACTCTGTGTCACCACCTGAGCTTGTTTAGTAATTGACTACTGCTGCCAGCTGCCAGTATCAGTTATAATCTGTGTTTTCTAAACTCAGCTAAAATATCATGGGTAACTCCTCTACAACGAAAGAGTTTTCAGGACTAAAATTCACTGATAAGAGTAAAATATTTTAGGTATGAACATATGCAAACTTAATATGCATCATTAGTGCAGCCTAATTTGACAGAGGTAAAAGCATTCAAAACACACATTCAAATTTTAATAAGCCGCTTTTAAACAAACCAGCATTACTTTCTGTAGCTTTCACAACACAATTAAGACAAATGCAGTCACAACTGATTTAAAAGCTTGTCAAACATATTTTAAACATAATCAGC